AATAAATAAGTTAAATCATATTAAACAACAGTCATGAATTTAAAACAGTTTTAAAAGTTTTTAAAACTGTGCAACCACATTAGAGATTGATTAATGAGACCCATAGGTTTTAATGAACAGCCAAGTTCAGCGCTCCCTTACATATCAAGGTTATATTTAAGGTTATAAATATCATTGTAAGCATTTTATTTTAGTTTTGAACTACTTTCTTTTAATTTTATAGAAATCCATGAATTACTATCAATTATGTAATTAAGGGTTACCAGTTACCTTTGTGGCACTATACAAATAATGATGAGATCCAAAGGAAGCTTTAGTGGAAGAGGGTGTTTTTTTCAGTAATACCAATTTATATTACAACCTTATGCATGTTCTTTCGAAAGTGATAGAAGTTTCACAATAATTTCTGAGTTGATTGTTAAACAACAGCCTATCCTGTTGAAATGAAAATTTTAAACATCTCTAGAAATATATTAAGGTTTCATACTTCTGCCTTAGCTCTGAGATTTAAATTCAGCAATTAATCCCTATTAGATAAGATCCCCTGAATCACCTGAAATTTGATCTGATATGTAAGTAGGTTCCATCAATTCAGTTCTCTAGTTGGTACTGAAAATAAAAGTTAAGGCTTGGATCTTAGTATATATTAAATACAAAAACAAGAACAGATCATACTTTTTTCAGATCACGAAGTTACCATTAAATACTGGGGATATTGAATCATCTAAGACCAGTACTTTGAGTTGTACATGGAAATAGGGCTCTAGCCAATGAAGCTTTGTATCAGGGGAATTCCATGGGTTTAATATCATGGTTTGCTTTACGGTTGTGGAAACAGTGGACTGTCGCCATGTTATATTTGCAGATATAAACATGTGTATTCATAGTTTGTGATATAGCGTAGTTAAAATTGTCTAAATAAAATAGATTCCAGTAAAAAAATACACCCGTTGAGCTTATTCCAAAATAACAGAGCACTTAGCAATTGTTTAGTTGTCAGTCTGTCCTGTCTCCAACTTCAAGATAGGATCCCCGAGTCTGTTGTTCTAGGCTGGGCTCCAGATCTGGTTTTGTTCTTTATATAATTTTTTGTAATGCCCACAAGCCTCTACCTGTTGATGGTGGTGCAAGTAAATAGCAGCTGACAAGATGACTAACAATACATAATAAGGGCCAAAAATAATGCATTCTTTTTGGCTCATACTTTTTATTTATTGATTTGATTTATATCCTGCCTGTCTCCCAAAATTGGACTAAGCAACACAACACAACCTAAATTAAAACAAAATAGCTAAAATAATTGGTGGTACAAAAGTTAAAAAGCATTAAACAATCAAATTAAATCACAGCATTTAAATCATTAATTTAAAAATAAGTACAAACACATTTTACATATTATAAAAATGGAACAGTCATTATACCGTCAGGCCCCAAGTTGCAGACAAGATATGAACAGGGGTGAGACAATAGGATGCGTTTGTTCATAAGTTGAATTTGTATGGAAATTGGGACAAGTACATTTTTAAGTGTAACTCCAGCCAAACAAACAAACGTATAAACAAATAAACAAATAAATAAATAAATGAAAAATTTGGGTCATATAGGAAAGAATTAACACCCCTGTAGTGTTTGTTTTGCTATCTGTGCCTGTGTTCAGAAGGTTTCATCTCACTTTCTGTCCCTGTGATAATTGGATTTTGAAATATGTGGCTTTTGGTGATAAAGCTTCAGTAGAGACACCTTTTCCCCATGATAACTCTTTCAGGAGTGAATTTCTCTTCTGAGAAATCGATTTCTCTCGCATCCTATTGTCTCACCCCTGTTCTTAACTATGAATTTTATGTAAGTTGGATTTAACTCGAGAATTGTATTTATATCCCTCTACTTCAACCAACTAAAGTCTGGAGTCCTGTTTAAAAAGAAAGGCATTTAAATGCCAGCAAAGAGAAGAGCAATGACATCTACCTTGGAAGGGAATTTGATAGTTTAAGAGAAGACAATCACTGAGAAGACTCTCACCTATATTCTCACTGTATGAGTCCACGAAGACTGAGTGAAGGAAGATAGACACTTTTGAACTATGTTGTTGTAGGAAAATTTTGAGAGTGCCTTGGACCAGAAAAAGATCAAACTAGTCCAATCTATAGGAAATAAAGCCTGACTGCTCACTGGAGGGAAGGATATGAAATGCAAAGATGAAATACTTTGGCCACATAATGAGAAGACAGGATAGCTTGGAGAAGATAGTGATGCTGGAGAAAATGGAAGGAAAAAGGAAGAGGGGCCAATCAAGGGCAAGATGAATCGCTGTTTTCCTTGAAGTGACTGGCTTGACCTTGAAAGAGCTGGGGGTGGCCATGGCCAACAGAGAGCTCTGGCATGGGCTGGTCCATGAGGTCATGAAAAGTTGGAAATGACTGAATGAATAAACAACATGAGTCTATGAGGGTGATGGGACAGAAAGACAGCTTTCCTTCATAAGCTTCAGGCTGATATGAGAAGATACAGGTCTTCAGATAGTCCACATAAGCCTTTATAAGTCCTAATCAGCAATATGAGTGGTGTCCCAGCACACAGCCATAGCCAGTAAAGTTTCAAGAAGGGGAGTCTATTCTCCCTATAACTATCTTTAGTCAGCAGTCTAGCTGCAGCATTTTGGACCTACTAAAGATTCTGAATACTTTTCAAAGATAACCCCAAATTTATGACTTCTCACTGAAAAAAACTCTTTGAAAATTATGTTGTTGTTTTTTTTAAAAAAAGTCACACAAATGCAGTACTAGAAGACAATATTAGAAAGTTCATTTCCTTCAACAATAATGGAGAGTGACTTCAAATGATAGCGTGTAATCCTGCCATGAATTTCAGCCAACAGTTAAAGATAACACCATTTTTCAGATGTTTGGTTTTGTGTGTCATGGAAACAGCATGCAGATATTAAATGAGCTTAGTTTTCAAGTATTAATGTATTTAGGGTGGACATTTCTGTGAATCTAATATCTTTTCTATGCTCTGTAAGCTTACAATAATAAACATTATCTATTGTTTGAAAGAATTGTCAACGTTCATGCTCTATTGGAACAAAAATATATTCTTTAAACTATCTCAACCGACTGCCAACTGCGGGGTTTTTTTTTAAAGAACATTTTGTAGGAAAATTGGTTATATCTTAAGTGTAACTTTAATCCACCATAGTCTGACTTTGTTAACAATTATGAACAAATAGATTTTCTATTATATCTGGAGTTCACGGTGGTCTAATGATGGAGAACGTATTATGTATTTTGTAAAATGTTTAATTAATTAATTTACAGCATCTGTATCTTGTTCTTCATAACCCCCAAAGGCGGGCTCAGGGCGGCTTACAACAGCAGCAATTTGATGCCGGCAATATACAAAAACACATTACATACAGTAGGCAAAAACAATCAATTTAAAACATCAATTTAAAACATCAATTTAAAACATTATCATTCACCATATAGCTGAATCCAAGGCTGATTTAAAGACCCAGTCCAAAGCCTGTCATAGTCAGATTTCAAACATTATGATTACTGCCAAATCTACTATCCAAATGGCTGGTCCCAAAACCATGTTTTGAGCTTCTTTCTGAAAGAGAGGAGGGATGGAGCGGATCTAAGGGAGCGCATTCCACAGGTGATAGGCCAGCACTGAAAAGGCCCTGTCTCTCGTGCCCGCCAAATGCATTTGCAAAGAAGGCAGGACTGAAAGCAGAGCCTCCCCGGACAATTTTAGATTGCGAGGCGGGACGTAGAGGGAGATATGTTCGGGCAGGTAAGCAAGACTTTATAGGCCAAGACCAGCACTTTGAATTGTGCTCGGAAGTGGACCGGCAGCCTGTGGTATGTTCCCTGTATGTCAGGGTGGTATGTTCCCTGTATGTCGCTCCAGTAAGTAATCTGGCTGCTGAACCTTGTGGAACTTCACAAGACAAGTTTGTGGAATCAAACAGGTGTCACCCAATAAAACCTTCTAGGACCAACCTTCCAGGAAGGACCGGAACCACTCCAAAGCAGTACCTCCAAATCCCCTGCCTACGAGGCGTCCCAGAAGGATACCATGGTCAGCGGTATTGAAAGCTACTGAGAGGTCCAGCAGAACCAACAGGGACACACTCCCCCTGTCTAGTTCCCAGTTTAGATCATCTACCAAGGCTGTTTCAGTTCCATGTTCCGGCCTAAAGCCAGACTGTGCCGGATCTAGATGGTCAGTGACTTCCAAGAACTCCTGCAAGGCCACCACACATTCCATGACTTTGCCCAAGTAGGGGAAATTCGAAACTTGCTGATAGTTGACTAATTGAGTGGAGTCCAGTGATGGTTTTCTCAACAGCGGTTCTATAACAGCCTGTTTTAAGCTGGCTGGAATCTTGCTCTCCTGTAAGGAGGCATTAACCACCAACTTCACTCACTCTGCCAAACCCCCTCTGGCTTCTTTTGTCAGCCAGGATGGGCAGGGGTCTAGGATGCATGTGGTAGGCCTCGCCTCTCCAAGAATCTTGTCCACATCCTCAAGCTGAACCAATTGAAACGAATCCATCAAAACTGGACAAGCAGGTGCTCATGTTACATCCTCAGAGACTGCTGTTAATGTGGCGTCAAAGTAGGAGCAAATCAGAGCGACTTTGTCCGCAAAGAACCGAGCAAATGCTTCACAGCGAGCTGCTGTGTTGTCAGGGGTCTCGCTCTGAGGTGGATTTAACAGCCCTCTGACAACGTGGAACAGAATTCTCTGTTTGAGATTGAATAATAGATGATATTTGCCCTTGAATTCTGAAGTACAATCTAGACCCAAGTTCCAAAATTTCAATTCACACCCTTAATTTTAAAGCAAAATTCTACTTCTTTAACATTTCACAGATAGCACACTTTCTTTAAAAGTATTCTGCATTATTTCTGAGTGTCAATCATATAGAAAAAAACAACAAAAGATAACGTGTTTCCTTGTTCATTAAGAACATGTTAATGTTCTTTTTACAGGTGATGAAGGAAATGTGAAGGAACTAGATCAAGTTCGGATTCTCCATAAGAGAACAGCTATGCGTTATAGTGTGTATAAGAGAAGACGGAAAGGATCGAACGATGAAGAAATTGTTCGACAATATGCAACTCTAGTGGGACAAGCCTGTTCGGAACGGATGCTGCTCTTTCGAAGCTGAAGTGTTCAGTCTGTGGGTATTCTGTGGTCCCCATATTGCACTATTGGTGGGTGATACAACCTTGCAGGTTTCGTGTTGACATGCTTATTGAAAATACAACTTTAAATATTTCTATATGCTTACGGAAGATTCATACAATGACATATCTTTAAAATAAATACAGTTTGCAACATTTTAAAGCCAAGATTTGGTAGAATTTAGCGATCCTTTGTCCTGTTGCCCTCCTTGCATTCTGAAAAATGTGCATGGTGTTAACTGTGTAAGTGATTGGAACATTTCTTCCCCGCTGAGCAGCCTTGAAGATAATCCCTTAGGGGGAATATTTAAAGTTACCTGGGTGCTAAAATGTAGTGAAACGTACATAATACTTCAAATTTTGTATTACAAGGAAATGTGTTTATGCATGCTAGCATTACTCCAGAACCCAGTGAAACTTGGGTCCTTGGAATAAGCTTGTATTTGTCCTACCGAATCCAATAATAAACATCAACTGAAATTCTTCCGGATTGTAAACTTGGCTTGTAGAAGGAACGGGAACCATGCAGCACTCTAGACGTTGTGGGTCTGCACATCTCAACACCTCAAGCCAGCATAATCAGGGATGAGGAATGATCGGGTTTATATTCTAACAACATCTGGTGGTGCAGTGTCTTATAGAATTTATTATATATGACAACACATAAAGCCATCTAATGTGAAATCTATGCACTGTAGCTTTTTAGACATTCACTGCAACTCTTCTAACGTTAGCTTCAAATAATGTAGTCTTGGAATAGTTTTTAAAAATTGGGACTGTTTTAGCTGGTTTTGTTTGTAATTGATATGTTTGGAAATATTGGAATTAAAGCCAAGGGTGGATTCATAGTTTAACTACCAAAGAAATTGATTTAAATAAGACAGCGGATTGAAGTTATATCTTGGGGGTCCATCACAGTTTTCTGGTACGTCTCTCTCCTTGTGTTTTGGCATTCTTAATACCTATTTCTGTTTATTCCAAAATCTTGGAATTCTATATCTAACAGCAGGATAGTTTGTTGTAAATGATTTTTTTCATTGTAAGAACACAGTTGTAGACCTACCTAACCAGCGTTGTTGATGTCACGTTAGCTTTCCAAATTTCAATAAATCTGTAAAATACACAAATGTATTCTGTGTAAACCTGTGTGTGTATCCATTTTTCTGTTACTGTCTGCTACCTAAAGCTGTAAGAACCGACAGATGCTGCCTTTCTAGTTAAAATTGTAGTTTGTACTGAGTTGCAGTACGTTTCTGCTTTTCCAAGCAGGTTCTTTTCAGTTTTCACAGTACCGATCGCTATTGTAAAGCAGTCAAAAAGAGCTACTGTAGTCTCTTTCCCCTTTATTCCGTTATAGGTTATTGGCATGATCATAGCAAACATTGCCAGCCTTGCTGATATGTCCAATTCCTGCTACTAGAAGCAGGTGTTTCTTTGTTTTTTTTCTGCACAACTTCCTATGTACATGCACATGAGCTGGAAGAAAATCACTCTATTTGGACCAAGATTACTATTCTGCACTGGATTTTGGAAAACACTGATTTTTTAAATTATGTGTGTGTCATCTCCATAATCTCTGAGGTGCTACAACAAGCCTGCACATACAGCCAATGGACCAGATGGGGCCTTTACCTGGAAAGTAAGGTGCTAAAAACCCGAAGAGGCTTTGCTTATTTTGATTTTAGCCCCTTACTATTGACAAGCTCTGCAAGCCTGTGCTACACAATCCCTTTATATCAGGCATGGGCAAACTAAGGACCAGGAAGTGGATGTGGCCCCCTAGGCACTTACCTCAGGCCCTCCTCATTTTGCTTGTCCTCTTGGCATAAGGACATGGTGGCCTGCCTCATCTTTATGCCAAAAAGACAAGGAAGGCACACAGCACCTGAGAGCCCTCTGGAGCTCTCAGCCACCCCATGTCTCACCATCCTCCTGGCATAAGGACAGTGCAAGCGGCGCTGACCTTATGCCAGGAAGATGTCTCGAGGAAGGCACATGGCAGCTAAGAGCCCTCCGGAGCACTCTCAGCCATCACATGTCTCATCCTCCTCCTGGCATAATGCCAAGAGGACAGCCCGAGGATTGGTGGAGGAGGATTGGGGCAGTCACTGTATGTCCCAGCATAAGGATGGGGTGAGCAGCCCTGTCCTTACGCTGGAAGAGCAACCTGAAGATGATCCAGGTCCTGCCCTGACCTGGCCCTCCCCTTGCTGGGCCTACCCCACACAATGTGTGCCCAGCTCCCCTCCCTCCTGGCACGGCCCACCTAGCTGAGCCCACATTTCGGCCCCATGGCCAAAAAGTTTGCCCATGCCTGCTTTACATAATCCATATTACCATAGCTAAATCTTTGACTATATCTCCATAGATTTCTTGGTTGACACCATCATCTCACCTTATTAACCTTTAATGAGTAAAGTGTTTGAATGATACATTAACATTGTATATGGCAGAGGGGGCTAGAAAGATGAGAAGACAAATGCAGATAATTGAATTTCAAATAAACATTTCATTGAACAAGTTGAAAGATGCTTTAATATAGCCAAATCAATGTGATCATTTTCAGATGGATTGAACTCTCCCCATGTCCAAGCAACAATAATATATTGTGGGTTGAGGGATTGCCACTTGGAAATAATAACCATTTTTTAAAGATGCCAATAATACATTGTGCCCCGGAGGTCATTGGTGACAATCCCGATGGCCATTCCCAGTGAATCCCTTTGTCTTTTCCGAAAACCATTAGTTTAAGTGATAAATAATTGAATGTTAATTTTACAAATTGATGGTTTAACCTATTAGTGTTACCGACGATGAATTAAGCTCCCGACATCTGATGACCAACACTAATGAATTCACTTTTTAAACTGAAAGTTTCAATCTCCAAACTGAATATGATTAAATCTAAATTTCATCCATTGGGCTAACTTTTTTAAAGTATGGTAAAAGAAATAACTACACTTTAGGTTATTTTTCGTCATCACCTAATATTATTTATATATTTATAGAAAACTGGGTATGCCTTTCTTCCTTTGCTTTTTTTAGGACAATGATATGTCATCTCAACTTGTCAGTGAAAAATTGCTCCATGATTATTTTGTATGCTGGATATAAAACAGAGGAATTACTCTTCAAGTCCAAGTGTAAAAGAGATTAAACTAAAGCCAGCATCTCTTAGACTGGCTCTATACTAGGCATGGGCAAACTTCGGCCCTCCAGGTGTTTTGAACTTCAACTCCCACAATTCCTTACAGCCTACCGGCTGTTAGAAATTCTGGAAGTTCAAGTCCAAAACATCTGGAGGGGTTAAATTTGCTCATGCCTGCTCTATACTATAGAATTAATGCAGTTTGACACCACTTTTCACTGCCATGGCTCAAAGCGATGGATCTGTAGTTTTACAGGGCCTTTAGCTCTCACTGCCAAAGAGTGTTGGTGCTTCACTAAACTACAACTCTCAGGAATCCATAGCATTCAAAAGTAGTAGCAAACTGTATTAATTCTACAGTGTAGATGCAGTCTTAGTCTTCTTTTTAGGGATTTTCTTGCTAAGCTGGCTTCTGAATATAATTATATCTGTTTTATTTATAAACAAGAAATACTCTTCCATACTGTGTAGATTCGATAAAACATACCTGATCTAAATGTTGCAACAGAACTATACATATTATTGAATGACCATTTATGTTTGTGAAATTTTGGGGAGGGAGGGGACAACTGCTTTAAGATCTATGTATTGCAAGTTAGAATTATCAAACATTTGTGTTAGATTTGTATGGATTTCAAGGGGGACATGAGAAAAGCCTCCCCGCAGGATTGCAACATTTTGGTGCCTTGGTGTTGCTATAAGGACCCCCTTATAGCAACACCAGAGGCACTCCAAGTGGCCAGCTACTGGTCAAAGGACATTTAATATAATGTCAAGGTTTTAAACTTTGTGTTTTTTGAATACATTACAACTGTACCTTTAGTTTGCTTCTGATACAATAAACAAATAAATGAATTTCATGGTCCATATCTCAGGGGGAAACGCTGGGCCATGTCTACTAACTCTTTTTGTTATTTTATCCTTCACAAAAGTTGCCTTCCATAGAGTTCCTACCAGTCTGACCTTGGGCGAGTTGCACACTCTCAGCCCCAGAATACCCAGTGATAGATTCGCCTTAGGCTTTCCATAAAGTTGGAAACATCTTGGAAGGCAAACAACAGCAGCAGACCCTGAATAATTCATAAATTCATTTCGATGAAGTGGCAGGCAGATTTTATCCAATTAATGGTATCTCAAATATGCTCTTTAATAAAAGTCATAATCACAATGATGAGATAATAAATAGATAAACAAATGGGGTTGTTGTGTGCTCTTCCTTCTGCTATGTATTACAGGTTTTCCTGAATGTGTTTTTCCCCCGTATGTACTGAACATGGGATTTTACATTTTTAAATTGATTTATCTTATTTTGACATCACAACCTCTTTTGCTCATTCTTGATTTATTTAAAATGGAAGCAGAAAAAGACAGCATCTAGTTATAATACATGATTGCTTCCGTTACTTGAAGGATTTATGACTACATCCTGTGTGTAATTTTCTTTTTGATATTTCTCATTTTGGTCTCATTTCCTCTGATCATATGAAGAATCTAATAGGTATTATCTCATAGAATTATGTGTTTTTCTTCAGCAATAACTACTTTCTGAAAAGCAATTCTCTCAGCTTTGATGAATCGGCATTTTAAAATGGTCATCTTGTTTGTATACTTGTCGTATACTTGTTATGTCATAGTAGCCAAGGATCCTTTCTCAAGGAGAAACATTCATCCCTAAAATAAAATATCTTAAATAATTGATGTCATCCTTAACATCACTGTTTAGTTATAAAGAGTGCATAACTTACTGTGCAGGTTCTGACCAATAATTTTAAAACGTATGTTTCACAAGCTGGGGATCACAACCAGACACAGTGAAGATATCTGCCCTTGCGCTTTGATACTCTGCTGCTGAATATGCATGCCCTGTGTGGAACACATCTCACCACATTAAAACAGTGGAGGTGGCTCTTAATGAGACATTCCGCATTATCACAGAATGTCTATGCCCTACACCTGACATCTGTCAGGAAGTAGCAGCCAATAATGAAAGGACCATGCAGTGACTGCATGGAGCACCATTGAAGATGAGAGGAATGCAATGTGGCCCAATAACTGTTTGAAGTCAAATATGCCTTTGCCTTATTGTTTCTTACTTCAAGTTGAACACTTTATGATTCCAACCAAAGCTCTGATGTTCAACTGTGATTATTTTTATGGATAAATTATACTTCTAATCAGATTATGAATTATAGGGAAGCTGATGGTCTTTGTGATCTTTCCTAACTCCATGATTTTATGATTTTAAGCTATGTTTGCACCACCAGGGGGCATGTTAAAGCTTGCAAATTTCACCCTGTGCCTCCCTAATAAAAATAAACACTATTTCAGGTTCTGAGTTTTCCCAGCGTCTCTTAAATTGTTTTCATCTGTAACCATGAAAAGGATTGGTTGGCATTGGAATCAACATATAAAATGAAAGCTAAAAGAGAAAAGAGGAGAAGTCTTTTTATGGTTTATTCATTGGTTCAAGAAGGGAATTCGGAGTAAGAAGAAAGTGAAAGTACTGCAAAGGAATATTGGAAGCAGCACGGATCTTGAAGGTTCTTTATTGGGACCAGTGCTTTGGAACCTGTTCACAAATGATCTGGAGCCAGGAATGAGCAATAAGCTAGTCACGTTTGATAACGAAACCATTTAGTGGTATTAATTTTTTTAAAACATGCGGGGGCATTAAAGCAAAGAGCTCAAAATGTGTGTCCCAGAGAAAGTTGCCAAAGTGGAATATGTGGTTGAGTGTTAAGTGATTCACACTGCAGCTGTGAATCGTACCTTAGCATATATACTATTAAAGCAGGCAGTGACTCACCAGGAAAAAAAGATCTTGGAGTTGAGTGAAGGCAGCTTGATGACACAGTTTGACCCAATTATACAGCTGTTGTCCAATTCCCTGTTGGGGAATACGATAAAAAAAAACCCTACATGCATAATATACAAATATAATAGAAATTTTTTTAAATCAGTTAAATAAACAATTAAGTC